TATTTCTTATCGCTCAATTTTGTGTTTTCTTAATTATTTATCCACTGAAGAAGGTGTATAAAACACCGAAACGTTTGGATTGAATAAATAAACTACGAGATAAAGTATACAAAATGACTTCAAATATGAGCAACACAAAGTTGTCAATATGAGAGACGTCGCATTTTTCAAAAGTAGGTCGACATTTTATACAGAACGCCATTCAAAGCGCATATGTTAAATCTACCAGACACACTCCAGAACAAGGCTTCCGACAGAAACACATATAAAACACAGAAACAGAAGATTAATAACCTCATTTGCAACAATGTCGAAAAGAAAAAATATCGAAAAAAGTGATGTCATTAGTAAACGCAGACTCTAAGCGTCTGTAATTTATTGTTGTTTTCTAACATTGTTATAAATTTCATTTCTTATTGTTTTCTGTTAAAAAAAGTTGTTTATCGTCATCTTTATTATGTTAATTATGTTAAAAAAAGTATTATACCAAAAATCAAAGATGTGTGGAACTTTCTAAAGAGCTTGACATTTTTTTATTTCGGTAGTTTTGCACTTCGATATTATTCCGCTTCGACATTGGTCGCTTTCCACATTTTTACCTTAGATATTTTCCCTTTCAGCATTACTACGGTAAACCGATAAAACATGACTTCATACAAATGAAAATCATGTTTAAAACAATTTCCATGAATATACTTGGTATGCACCGGTATCGGTATTCATACCGAAATACCGATACCGACAATACCGAACTTCGGTATATACCGATACCGAAAATACCGACTTTTTTCACTTTTTACCGAATTTTAAAATACCGAATTTTTTGGATTTTTTCATTTGAAATGAGATGTTTCAGTGTCCTGGACACCCAGAATGAATCAGGGACGGAAAACAAGAGCTTTGTTTGCTTTCTAAAGCCAAAGTTTTTCTTTTCTTTCTATCTCCACATGCTCAAAATACACAGCTGAGTGTTGTTTATACGTTCTGCTTGTCCAGGATGCTAAAATACTTCATTTCAAATGAAAAAATCCAAAAAATTCCAGGTCAAAAAAAGTCGGTATTTTCGGTATCGGTATATACCGAAGTTCGGTATTTTCGGTATTCGGTATGTTTTTTGTAACAAAAGTTATTTTTGGAAACCGGAAGAGTATCAGGTTTTGTTCAATTTTTTATGCTGGTTCGAATAGTATATAACTCAAGAAGCTCCGATTTAATATGATGCTGTCACACTGAAAATGAGAAGAAAGATGGAAATTTTCAGTTTTTCAAGAAAATTTGGTGATACCTTTTTTAAAAATTTTATTTCTTCATAAAGAAACTTTTCCTGGGTTTTAAAATTTGGATTCATAACCGACTTTGTATAGAGGATCCAAAGATCGCACTTAACAAAAATTTTATTGTTCAAAGGTTTTATCGATTTTTTTGACGCGCTCACAAATTGTCTCTTAAGGATCTTTTAAATGCTCGTTAAGCAGACTTTGACTGTTTCAAATATTAGACTTCCAAGATGACCGGCCAACCGGTCGCAGGCAATTCGCTGAAGACTTTTTCGTCGCAGTTGCTTTTGACTGTTTCAAATATTAGACTTCCAAGATGACCGGCCAACCGGTCGCAGGCAATTCGCTGAAGACTTTTTCGTCGCAGTTGCTTTTGTTGCGGTCACTTTAAAAGAGAAGGAGAGAAACAGGTACTTTACGCATTTTTCTCATCAATTATATCTTTGATTTAATGCGTTAATCTCGAAATAAGAGGAAGAATGACAGTTTGATGGAAAAGAGAAATATTAATTTAACTGATTAAATACCAAAAACAAAGAATATGAACAACAGAGAATTAATCGTGTTTATAATATCACATTTGCCGCAATGCCACTCAGCTAGTCACCCAGCTGATGTATATTGTAATTTGTCACTAAACGAAAAAATCTGCAACAAATTGGCCGCGACGAAAAGACGTAGCACCGAACTTCCATTTCCAATTAGTTTATTATGATCTGCTATTTTTCTTTTTTATGTCCAGACTTCGATCAACCATTTTGACAATTAAATAAATAATTATTAGTATCAAAATATGATCTAACATTTGTTTTAAATACAGATACGCATTTTCGTCTATAATAATATTTTGATTATAATTCCAAAAACGAACTTCTAAATAATTTAATGTTAAATATGATGTACGTAGAATAAGTATTATACATATATAGATCATAGTTGATTTTAATTTACTTGAAAATGATTATTTTAATATTTTAATATTTTGAAAAAATTTCATATAAATTGATAAATTTTAATAATTATTTTCACTTATTTTAGTTATATTTAATTTATTAATATGATTAAAATGCTGTTGATAAATACTATGACGGATAATTTTATCAATATTTGAAAATATATTACAAAAACTAAAATTATCAACTTTTAAAACTTTAACATTTGGTGTCATTAAGAATAAATATTTCATATTGTTGAAACATTTTACTGTTGTAAATTCTAGAAGATAAAATTGAATTTGATGACAATGTTTTAATATTGAAATGTTATTAATATTATTAATATTTTCTTCTCTTTCCTCGAAAGAAAATTGTTGATAGATATTTAATGATTCCTACTGCTTTAGTTAGTTGAGTAAAAACTCTTACTTCATCAGCAACAGCTTAATAGCATGAATAGTATAAACTTGATCAAGATACGGTGGACACGTATCAAATGTACCATCCATCATAATATGTTTGGCAGAAAATAGAAATGTTAATTGTTGCTCTGTACCAAATAGTAATAAACGTTTATTACGTAATGTTTTATCACATAATAAAAACTGTTCATCACCAAGTGTAACTAGATATTGCGCTGATATATCAGATACATATGACGTTGGTAATACTGGTGTCATTTTTCTACGTGCACGATTTAAACCTGAATCTGAAATTAATTTAGTAATCAGAAAATTCTGTCAAAGACGAATATAAAAATGTATACATACTTGCTTCATATGGTGATGGAATAATAGCAGCTGCTGTTTGTGACATTTGTTGGCGAGCAAATTCTTCATCATAAATTTTAGTTATTGCTGTTGTTTCATTTATAACTTTACGTTTTATATTTTGTTTAAATGTACGAACTTAAATTTCTTCAGGTGATTGTAAACGTGAATGATTACTAACCGTTTTTATAAATGCATCTTTAATATTTGTATGAACACTGGCATTGCCACTACGATCTTCACATTTCCAATATTTAAATGTAGCCGTTCTTTTACTAACATAATAAATGTAATTATCACGAACTAATAATGGTTTACCTTTATTACTTGTAATAAACGATATAGTACTGGCTATAACAGTTTATATATCGTTTTATTAGAGTATGAATGAGTGTTCAAAATATGATGCATCACAGTATTTATAGAACTTGATATTCTTACATATTCTCTTGTCATTTCTTTTATCAATTAGTCTAATAATTAGAGTTTATTAGCTTAATTTCTGTTGTTTATAACTGCTCCTTTTTGTTCCAAAGGAAGCGCCCGGTCAGTCATAGTCATTCCAGAAAAGCGCAGGAAACTCTGTTTACTAAAAATTCTACGCATTTAGCGAGTTTCAAATAATAACGCGCAAGAAGCTGCGAGTTGTAAGAATAAACCGCAGGAACACGCGTGTAAAGCCTTTGTTTCCACGGAAACGTGCGGTTTATTTTTACACATTCGCAGCTTCTTGGGCGTTATTATTCGAAACTCGCTAAATGCGTAGAATTTTTCGTAAACAGAGTTGCCTGCGCTTTTCTGGAATGACTATGACTGACTTGGCTATGATAAATTTATCTGTTATATTCTATTTTTTAAACTGTTCTCTTATATTCTATGGAAAAATTTTTACTTTGATTATTTGTCAGCTAGGCCAATTCGCATTCGACCATTTTTACAATATCAATTCTACTAAGATTTTATCCTTGCCGTCTTCGAACTTTTCGACATTATAACAGTCAAAAAATTTAACAGTGACTGTTAACTGCCTTTCTTTCAACATTTTGTAGTATGTTAAATGCCTTTTCTCGAGCCTTTATCAACAATCATATAACAGACAATAAACTGACTGTTACCTGTCAATTTTTTGTGTTAAAAAACAGTTTTTTTGGCATACATTTAAAACTCATTACATGACTTATTAAATGTCAGTTATGTTTCACTTGGGCAGTTATATAATCGAAAAAGTCACTAGTCTTTTTGCTAAGGCGCCCCTAATTCGAAGTTTAAGCACTATTTTATTTTTGGCTTATTTATACATCATTTGATAGAATTCGACGAGCTGATCAAGAATATCTTAGTTTTAACCGTCTCAGATCCTCTTTTGGCTGGAAGAATTTCGAGATACGGGAAGGACCCAAAACTGGAAAAAACCTTATTGCAACGAAACAATCGAATATTACTTTCGCATTTCATGCTAGAAAACCGCAAACTTTTTTTCAAATTCGCCGTACCAAACTGGATGTAGGAGTATAGCATAGAGACTGATCACATATAATGTGGTCAAAATAAAACTTTCTCTACACACACACATCAAATGTCGCCAACTAATTATTTATTTGCTATTAACTGGTGCCCAATGGGCCTATCAGTACAAATACAGAAAAAAAAAGAAACTGACATACATTGCAAATTATGAATAAAACTTTAATAGAAAAAGAACAGACACAAATATCTCGATATCAGAAC